GGGGGGGTGCATGCATATCTGTAGCTCTCTGGTGTGTCAAAGCGAGTGCGTGGGAGCAGATGCTCAACATGCACTGCATTGCATGTGGTTTCGTGACTGAAAGAGAGACAGAGAGAGGGGGGGGGGGGGCCTGCACAAAATGAAAATATCAGATAAACCACATCTATAGGGCTGAGATAAACAAAATGTTCTCGCTGCAGCACATGTAAACTCCTGAGATTCCACCAAAGGTCATCTACGCCCAAGGCTTGGATCTGAATCCTACATGGGAGCTTTATTGTTGCATGTTGTCTCATTCATTCTCAACAAAACACACCCACACATAGTTCAAAACAACATGTGGCACAGCTGATGATAATGATAAGATTGTTGTTTTACAGTAAACCCCTGTGGCTGTATTTTCCAGCCCTCAGCACTACTCTTTCCATAGCAAACTTTCTCTGAGAGGATATGAACAATAAAGCTACATCTGCCTGGACAAATGCTGAGCCTGCGTTCAACACCTACAGTATTACAAAGCAAAGCCCCCCCCCCCCATGTTCTTTTTCATACTGAAACTATTATTTCTCTTGTCATTGTACGAGAGATGAGATTAGTCAGACTCCCATTGTCTTGTTGTGAATTCCAGTAAGGGTCTAAAAGTGTCACGGTCTGCAAGTACTGGCAAAGCTTCCTCTGTGCGATAAAGCCCCAGAGTTTTCCTCTCCGCCCTGACCGGGGCAGACAGCTGCTCTACAGCCCCAGACGCTGCCCTCCACGTCGGGATGAGGTTCCTCCAGTGTGGGCCTCTGCGTGGAACTGATGGAGGATGCAGATAAGAGCGGCTGTTGTGACTGGGCTGACTAAATGCAAAACGGGATGATGGCGAGATAGCTTCCTGTGTGTTATCGTGGTGTTTGTGTCTCAATGTGCGGAATGTTTATAAAGTACAGTGGTGGATGTACTAAAGGAAAAGTACCAACGCAAGCATCTAAAAATATTCTGTCACAACGAAATGGTCTGCATTTAAAATTCCACTTAAGAAGTACAGAATTATCTAAATCTACTTAAACTATTAAAAGTAAACTCACTCTGCAGAAAACGTTTCTAGATTGTTAGCGATGCCTTAATGCATAAGTTGCATTACCTGTTTTACGCCTAGCTGGTAGAGTTGAAGCTAGTTTTAACTACTTTATATACGGTGGACTGGGCCCCCTCCAAAGCATCACAAGATAAACCTGGGAAATCATACAATGATTAGGAAATTTTAGAAAGAACTCTGCCACTCACGTTTGTATTCATGGGCTTTCCTCTAGAGATCCCCAAGCAGAGCGCACTGTAGCTCAACTGCTTGATTGAAAAAATAGATATTACAATTTGAATTAAAAAATATATCCATAATATTGAGTCAGCTGTAACACCTGACCACCACGTGTTGGGGGTGCATGAAAACTAGTTAGAAAGCGAGCAGAGACGCTGAAACCATGAGCTAAAAAGATGATAAATAGTTTAAAAAGACAGCTGAAAGTAATGTATGAATGGTTAAATTTGCCTCACAAGGCCCCAACAAGACCGCTTTTTTGTAAGGAGTTACAAGGCCACCGCTGACAACGTATGTCAAGATCAGAGTGCCACCAGAGATGCCTTGTCTCCACTCTCCCCTGTCAGTCCGTCTCAATAAACCCTCGGCGGGAGCAGGTCATGAAAGAGATCAAAGAGTAAACCTATTTTCTGTCTGTTTGCAAAGCGTGCTCTCGGGTGCTATTAGCAGGAGTGGAAAATGTAGTATCGGTGAGGGCAAATGTAAGATCTTTATTTACTTTGAAGTCACACTCACGCAGGGGCCCTCAGGCGAGCATGTGCTAGCAATACTCTCACTCTCTGCTATTGATGACAGCACAGATGGTATGTAAATTTGTGTGAGGAGTTGGTTTTAAACGTTAATTAAAATGCATTCCTTGTGTGTGAAGACCTACTTGGTAATAAACCGCTCTGCTCTAATTGCTAGCAATTGTGTTACATGTGTGTTGCACGGGCAATGGATGCCAACATATGAGAGAGAGAGAGGCAGAGCATGAGGAGTTAGAGGAAGAGGAGGAAGACAGGAAGGAGGAAGAGGAAGAGAAAGACAAAGATCAAGGAGAGCCATAATCTCTGAGATTCAGGTCCCTGTGTTTGATCATGAAAACATGAAACAGAGGACTGTACACAGTACATTTGTTCTGTATGTAGGGCACTTTACATATACACATTTGTGATAATTGGGATGCAAACCGTATTTCTTGTTTTGTTTTCCTATTTCACAATAAACTACTGTACATATGCAATAAGTGTAACACTGCAGATGCAAAAGGCATACGTTTCCCGATAAGACATTCAGACATATTGTGTATTTTGTTTGTTCGAATGATGGTGTGTGTCATTAGAACACGAAATACCATTTTGAGAAGACACAGCAATGTTTTGAATGCAGAGTTTCATTTTTGCAAGAGAGTTTCTGTATTCCTGAGTAGAGTTCTGAGAATATGAGGTAGGGTCTCAGGAAAAGACGCCTGCACACCATTTAGAAAAACTGTAAGAATACCTCTACATAGAGGACTGAGTGAATTAGTGTGCAGTACGGCTGCGACACCTCGTGGCAACATGAAGGAATAACCGCTGTGTGACTGTAAATGCAGTGAGCACGTATCGCCAGCGGGCGTCGCTGTTGAGCCGCGCACTGCGTCGACTGCACGGGACAGCAGGAGCACGACCAGAGAATTTCTGCTACAGCTGATTCAGACGCCATTTTTTTTGTCACGAAAATAAACAACATCAGTCGCGTTGGCATTTGGATGTATCGCAGTTTGGAAGAAAGCGACGACAGCCTCCCCGCTGGAGCGCCCTCCTTTTCAACCGAAGATGACGGTTGATTTGGTCACCTGAGCCGCCGTGTCAGTCGGGTAAGAACGTCTCGCGGTCGTCAGCTGGTGTTACATTGTGTGTAAACGGGTTGTTGTGTGCGCGAGCATGATGCCATGACAACGACGCGGCTGTCATTAGCGCGCGGTGGAGCCGTCAGTCGATATAACGCTGATACCTCGCTACATTAACGCGGTTAAACGTCAGGTGTAGCCGGTCTTTAAACCATGCAGCGACAACAACAACACGCCACCTGACATGCGCTGACATGTACACACACCGTGCTAACCAGGCCGTTCGGTCTGTGTTCATCCAGCCAAAAGAGCTGCTCGGTGTCTTTGTGAATTCATTTAATTTGTTTTTTGTGTGTTTTTTCTCCACAGAGATGGGAATCCTGGGTGGATTTCCTCAACGGGAGGGAGCGGAGGTTTAAAGGGGCGGGCGCGGAGGGCAGCAAAGGGGCCTTGCTGCTCGTCAGCCCAGAGGAGATGGACCAAGAGTACGAGAGACGGCTGCTGAGGCAAATCAACCACCAGAACCTGCCGACAGAGGCCCGCCTGTCAAAGGTCAGACACACAGGATGATGGGAAACCCGTTCGTGTTGTGTGTGTGTGTGTGTGTGTGTGTGTGTGTGTGTGTGTGTGTGTGTGGTATCTGGGTCTTTACATACATATTTAGCATAACTGAGTTCTCCATCCTCAAATAGTGTGTTATGAGGAAGGGCTAAACTATATTTAAAGGCCCTGAATAATATCGCCCAATAGTAATAACCCTGCTGGATTTGTTATGGTCTCTCTCTGTCCATCCCAGTGTGTGAGTGCTACCTGCAGTCCTGTCAGCATTAAGTCAGGGGATCGCTTCATTCCCACCCGTGCTGGAAGCAACTGGAGCATCAACTTCCACCACGCCAATGTAAGCAGCCTTTTGCACCCGCCCCACAAAAACACAGCTCGGTAATCAAAGCTATATAAACATATTTTTTTTACTCACCGTTCCTTTATCTCTCTGCAGGAGAACTGCCGCTCCCCAAATCAGACCCATAAAGCAAAGGATGCCACTTCAGATTCAAGCAAAGGTCAGACATTTTATACCTGGTATGAATCGTACAGGTGGTCTTTTTGTGGTCCTGAGCTATATCTCTCCACCGTCATGTTTCACCATTTTCACTGCCACCCCTCCAGATGCTGTGGCGTATGCAGCCCTCTTGAGGAATGAGTTACTGGGGGCAGGGATAGACACTGTGCCAGACACTCACACGGACGACCGGCGTCACGCTGTCCTCTCTCAAGACTCTCGCAGCCTTTTTAGGGTAAAAAGGACCACCCAATTCCAGAATAATTCATTCCTAAATAGCTCCTAGAAGTCCCTAATTATAATTCTGCTTTGTGTGTTTATTCCCTGCAGTACACTGTCCACACTAAGGGAGTGCCTTTCGATGGCGATAATGAAGTCTCACCTTACTCCCTTTCTCCGCTCAGTAACAAGAGGTATGACGTATATCTCACATGCTGCACACCGAGCGGACACGCCGCTCAAACGTTGCTTGTCAGATAACGTTGGTTTCCCCCGTTCCTTCTCAATGTTCCTGTAGCCACAAGCTGCTCCGCTCCCCTCGTAAACCAGCCCGTAAGATCTCCAAGATCCCCTTCAAAGTGCTGGACGCTCCGGAGCTGCAGGATGACTTCTACCTCAACCTGGTAGACTGGTCGGCGGGCAACTTACTCAGTGTCGGCCTGGGAGCCTGCGTCTACCTGTGGAGTGCCTGCACCAGCCAGGTCAGAGGAGGGGCTTCAAAGACTTGTTATTGCAGAATTTCTTCTCGGTGTAAAAGGGAAGTCTGTGTCTGATGTGGTTCAGAGAAAAGCGTCTGTTCGATTTCTGTACTTTGTGTCCTAACAGGTGACGAGGTTATGTGACCTTTCTGTGGATGGAGACTCCGTCACGTCAGTCTGTTGGAATGAGAGGGTGAGCTGCCAGAACGGATTATTACTACTGCTTATTTAAGAGAAAATGAACTGCTCGTAGTAAAGAAACAATGGGTCAACCGTGTGTTTGACTTTGGCTCTGGTCCCATCAGGGGAGTCTTGTTGCTGTCGGAACCCATAAGGGTTACGTTCAGATCTGGGATGCAGCAGGAGGGAGGAAGCTTACCAGCCTGGAGGGTCACTCAGCACGTGTAGGTCAGTTATAGCTGGAGAAAAAGTGGAATTACAAACTGCTGATTAAAATCAGTTTTTGAGTTTCCTTTTAGCAAACTAAAAGGAAGTAAAGGAGAATCTTCCGTTTTGCATTTTACCACTTTCATTTTTTATTTTACTTAATAGCCTAAAACTCCATTTTACTGTATATTGTACCACCAAACGTGCTATTATCATATAAGAAACACCAGATGAGTTCCAGATAGCCACAGTGAAATATGAGACCCTCCCTCCCACCCTGTGTGCCCTAGGTGCCCTGGCATGGAACGGGGAGCAGCTGTCGTCGGGGAGTCGGGACAGAGTGATCTTACAGCGGGATGTCAGAACCCCCCCATCGGCTGAGCGGAGGCTTCAGGGTCACAGACAAGAAGTGTGCGGCCTCAAATGGTCTCCTGACCACCAGCACTTAGCATCCGGAGGCAACGACAACAAGGTGAGTGGGTTTGAAACTCAACTTTTTGGGTGAATTAATCCTCGAGAGTAAGCTATACATAATCCCATTCCTTTGTGGTCTCCTGCCCAGCTGCTGGTGTGGAACAGCTCCAGCCTTCTCCCCGTGCAGCAGTACAGCGACCACCTGGCAGCAGTGAAGGCCATCGCCTGGTCCCCCCACCAGCACGGGCTGCTCGCGTCGGGCGGCGGCACCGCCGACCGCTGCCTGCGCTTCTGGAACACTCTGACGGGTCAGGCGCTGCAGAGCACAGACACCGGCTCACAGGTCTGCAACCTGGCGTGGTCCAAACACGCCAACGAACTGGTGAGGAGACATGCACACAGTTCAAGAATAATAACACGTTGATAATCAATGAAATGTAATTAAATAATTGTTGTTTTTTTTTAAAACAATAAGATCCTTATTAACCAATTAATTTAACTAAATATTGGAATCACATTTGTAGATAGAAATAACAGTCTGGCCCCATGTAAAATGTTGTTATTACTGCAGTATACGTCTGGGTAATGATAAAATGTGTTGCATAAAACTATTAATTAATTAATAAATAATATACTTTCACTGTAGAGGTGTTATAACAGTGTCATGCCATATAAAAACAATTTATTACATTTTTTTTCTTGAGAGGAGGGACATTTTGTAACATTTTGACCAATTAATTAGTTCCCAATATTTCGGTACATATATACAATCCTATATGATTTCATGCAATATCTCTGCAATAGGAATGTACTGTGTGTGAAGCTTAATGTGTAATGTTTAGTCTGTGTTCTCTCTTTGTGTGCAGGTGAGCACTCACGGCTACTCTCAGAACCAGATCCTGGTGTGGAAGTATCCGTCATTAACACAGGTGGCCAAGTTGACCGGACACTCTTACAGAGTGCTGTACCTGGTAAGACTGCAGGTTTAAATGAATGACCATGAGGGTTCAGTGGCAATGTAACTAGACTAACAGAACGGACACATGTCCAACGGTTTTCATACACTTATCCAGTGGAGGAGGTATTCAGATGCAACACCACAGTGTGAAAATACTCGTTTACAAGTAAAAGTGCTGCATTTAAAGTCTGTAAAAGTGAGTAGTGTCAGAAAAACGCTGCCAGTGTTTATTTATTTACATTGTATATTTGTTACTGTTGATGCATTTAAGTACATGCTGCATTTTAATGTTGCAGCTGGTCTAAGCTAGCAAATTCCAACCACTTATCGTACTGTTGAAGGCATTATATTTTATAAAGTAATCGCATGTTTTATATGTGAAATGGTAACGGTTCCCTGCACACCCGTAGTCCACCCACACAGGTGTTTTCACCCATGTTGTCTGAGCAGATCTCTTCTCAGGACTGAATCCAAATCCAAAATATAAATCAGCTTTCGTCTTTATTGTCACGAAGGGTAAATTCCTCTCCACCGCACTGTACACATCAGGCAGGGATCCCTCTCTCAGTGCTCTGTACCTGCGTCCAGAGGGCAGGAGGGTGAGGCGGTGGCTGAGTTGGGTGTGTGATGTCTTGTTCTATTGAGGTTGCGATCTGTGCAGCGGCCTTATCGTTTAGGTCTGCGAGGCTGGGTGTGGAGAGACCTGTTACCCCGCCAGCGGTGTTGGTTTATTGGCCACGTATGTGTCCACATACAAGGAATTAAACTCCAAAATGTTCACCCGCTCACCAGTTTGTCCTCCCTCCTCAGGCTGTGTCACCAGACGGGGAGGCCATCGTTACAGGAGCTGGGGATGAGACACTACGTTTCTGGAACGTCTTCAGTAAGACACGCTGCACCAAGGTACCGTGTGTTTGGGAGTTAGCTCGCCACATAGCCAGGCCTGTCAATCAGTTAACTAATCGGTCTTTTTGGTTTAAGTCGACTGCGATTTATCTAGTCAATTAGTCATTTTGTCAAAGCATTTTCATGTCCAAGAAACTTCTCTGGTAAAACACAAGATTTAAAGTGGTGCTTTTTGTTTGAACCTTTGTGGATAAACTCAGTTTTACTGATATGTCTATTAAATCACCTAATCAATTAGTCGACAGAATCGTATGAGTGTTAGTTGACTAAGAGATTCTTTAGTTGACAACAGCCCGACACATATTATACACAAGTCTGATGTCTTTGTTGTTTGAAGTCACTAAATGATTGCTAGAACGTACTTGATGTTTGTCTGATTCCAGATCTCTAGAAACGCTGAGGGCTCTTTGTGTCGATGACACAACGGTTTTGATTTGACAAAGCCTGGATAATGTCTAATTTTAAGTTCTTGAACTTCACCAAACCAGATCTTGAAAGTCATTAAAAAAGCCCCCGAAACGAACCTCCTCCTGACTGACAACAAGACGTATTGTAATGCTTTGACATTTCCTTCTATTTCCAGGAATCAAAGTCAGTGCTGAACCTCTTCACAAGAATACGATAGTGAGCAGACCGGGTCTGGACCGGTTCCTGGAGGAGGAGCCTCCGGAGCTGTGGTTGAAATGCACAGAGTCACCAGCGACACTTACAGACTAGCACTTAGAGCCCTCTCTCCTCCAGTCCACGTTTTCTACAGAGGGTGGCGTCCCAACAACTACGACAAGAAAACTGCCATCTCTCACAGTGATGTCACTGATTTAAAAAAAAAAAACAATACAAGCAGTCTATTGTCAGGACATATTGTCTGCTTAAAAAAGTCGGTCTTGTTATCTTTTTTCTGTTGTGTAAGTGATATATATTAGCAGAAGTATACATGTACAAGAGTTATAAGCTATATAATGTAATGTCAGAGAAGAAAAAGCCTGGCTCGGAGGTGTGCGTGTGTGTGTGTGTGTGTGTGTGTGTGTGTGTGGGAGGGGGAGGGGGATTTCTATATTTTGATAATGTGACTATGCTCTACAAGCTGCATACAAGAGAAGAGAAACAATAAATAAGTGAACACACACACAGTTGCTCATGCAGCTGCAAAGAATGAACTGTTTATTGTTGTCTTGTCACTTTGTCTGATGGAGGGAGGGTTTGGATCCATTCCTGGAGAAGAGTAAAGGGCAGTGTGACACCTTTTCCTTTCCTTTTATCCTGCTTGAGCAACTGCAGAGGTATTTTCATTAGAAACTTGTTGCACAGAGGTCCGCTCATGCTAACAGTCCACCTAATCTGTGTGTTTGCTTTGGTTCAGTCCAAGCATTATGGTTTCTGTTGTCCACTTTCACCTGCCCAAGTGATCAGTACTATTTGGCACCATTTATCATTGAAACAGAAAGAGATTCTGGGTTTTTCTTTTATCACTTTCTCTTGAACTCGGAAGTGCTACCAGCTCAGTCTAGTAATCAGAGTATCCAGACCCCTGCAGGCCCCGACAGAGCAGAGAAAACTCCTTCACGATATCCTTAACACGGCGCTTGTGGGTTTGCTCCCTGGAAAAAAGAAAAAAAATGATGAATTCATTTTGTTGAAACATGTTAACTTCATACAGAAAGACCCGAGCCGGCTGATTCAATTTCTTTGATGGAATAAAGAGAACACAACACCTTTTGAAACAAAAACACAGTTTTGATGTTTAAAAGCTGTGACAAGTGTATGATCGTCACCTCAGAAGCTGCTGACGGAAGGTGTTTTTCTGCTCTGTGGAGACCTGTGCGGAGGGGAATCCCGGGGGCTGTAGTGTTTCTTTCAGCCACTGGGACAGCAGAGCTGGACAGTGTCTGTTTAGACTAAACAACACCTCAGAGAAGTGCTCCGTCAGACTGCGTGGGGACTCGCCTCCAATCGCCTGCGACACAAATAGAAGCATTCCGTTAGAAAACAGTCTGGTGACGGTTTGAAATGAGACCTAACATCAGGGATGAAATGCATGCTCTGGTTTAATAAAGTGTACAAAAGAGTGAGTGGGTGCTCTCCAAATCAATACTCACAACCACAGTACGCAGGGTAATGATTCACATTTTCTTATCTAGTTGTGTGACTCACCTGGAGTATGGTCTCAGTCAGAAGCTTGCCATCACTCTGCAACACTTCGCCAAGCGAGGGCATGTCTTTACAACGAGGCAACAGCTCTGTCTGCCAGGTACAGACAAAAACAACAACACATGAATCTATGAGCTGATGAGATGAAATGAGATTTTTTTTTTTTTTTTTCAAACTATAGCTTACAATTAAAAGTTGCACATTTCTGCCTCAACTTACAAAGAATAGTGTGGCAGCTTTCACTGTGAGTGTCTCTGGGAACTTCAGCGTCAGAATCCCTGAAAACAGATACAAAGATGTGTTTTAATGAATGCTTCAGCTATTGAGCTGCATGGTTGTCTCAGGCAGAATATCAAGATGTGAGTGAGGTTGTGTCTTGACTTTGAACACAGTCATTTGTAAAAAAGCAATGCAACATTTTAGACTGCATGGAATCAAACATGTGGGGTCATATTATCCTATACAATTCAATTTAATCAGTTTTGATACCATTTTTCGATACCATACCGTTAGATATTGAGTCATACGACCAGGAGGGGTGTAAGTAACGAAATACATTTACTCTCGTAAACAAGGTAGTTTTTTTAAATTACTTTTTTGAGTATTTTCCAAAATCAGCAATTTAACTTATGCAGCCTGCTTTGTAGCACAAGTATAGTACTTCGCTACATTTCAAGTCATATCCGTTACGGAATAAAAACAAACGGTGTAAGAGGGAAACAGAGAAAAAGACAAATCAGCAGCTGCAGCAGAGAAGAAGCTGCTGGTGTGTCTGCGGCCGCAGGTAAGGACAGAGCTCCACGGTCGGAGGGGGGGACACCCCGGAAATGATCCGTTGAGAATGTTTGCGTTCACGGGCCACATGTGGGGGGTGGTTGTAATTAGCATTATTGTACCTGGCATACTAAACCCGGAAGACACTTGAATATTTATATAATTGATAATCAGTTGTATGTTTTATATAATTGATAATCTGTTCTATGCCCAGACTGCGGAGTGTCCATCTGTTGGTCTGGACAGAAGTGATCTTGTTGCTGATGATGTTCCAGTTGAGTAAAAGTTAACATGCAATCTATTTTGTTATTAAGTACATTTTTGACACAAGTATTTTTACTTTTATTTTAGTAATATTAATTTAAAGTGACAGTACGTTTACTTTAGTATAGGCCCACAATATTCTAGTACTATCTCCACATCTGTGTATACAGTACAACCATGTAATGATACTCACCGCAGTAAAACAGCCTTTTAACATCCAACTGGTCAGACAGGTACATATCAGGCTTCCTTTTAAGAATCTAAATGAAGCACAAAGTAATCAGGCAAAGTTTCCTGTGAGCTGCAAACGTGCATAACAATGGACACGAATACGCAACCCACCTGAGCATGAAGGTGCATAAATGATTCTGCAATATCAGGATGATCCCGTGGACCTGTACATTGAATATAAGATGAGACGAGACAAACATATATCTAAAAGTAAATTGTAATTAAGTGCAGGATTTTATTACCTTGATGAAATAGAGTAAGTGTGGCAGAAGTCAAAACCTCAATAAGGCTTTTGAGGTTAGAGGTGTGATGTTCCTCTCCGGCAAATATGTGAACCATCTAAAAAAATTAAAAGAGAAGGACATATGATCCCAAAAGCATGTTAAAAGTCCGAATTGCAGTTTTGAAGGGAAAATGCTTTTATTCATGCCCTGATCTGTGGGGGCGTACCTGCCGTGCCAGATCCAATGCTGAGGCTTGTGGGAAGGCGCAATAGATCTGCCCCAGCATCTCACTCAGCTGAGCCACCATGGGCCCGAAATCATGTAGGAGGGTTCGAACTGACTTATCAAATACCCCGCACACTGCCTGGAGAGAGAGAGCGAGCTGTGAGTCAGTAAACACACATAGATAAATCATACACACACACACACACACACATATACATCAGCATACACATACATATTTATGCAAGCAGTGAAAAACCCTCCTACCTCAACTACCTCTGAGTCATCAAGCCACTTGCTGAGGATGTTCTGGATCAACGTGAACACTTGCTGTAGCACAACAACAACCTAAAAACAAAATTTGTATATATATATTTCATGTATGTTTGGTTCATTTCAATATTTTGCATGTTCAGAAATATTGATGCACAAGGCCCATTCTAAAGGGTTGATTCACAAAACTACTATTTCACTGATGTATGAGGAAACAGCTGAGGTAATTTGATATCATTCAGATGCAGTTGCTGGTATGATTTATGTTTATGGAGCTACCCATGTCCAGTTTTCTGGAGCTAAACTTACTGGATTCTGTGTGCTCTGTGAGGGAGTGAGTCTTGGGCTGGACGCTCCCTCTAAGCTGTCTGCTTGTCTGTTGATGTCCAGAGTGGTGAAGAGACTGGACAGCATCCCCAGGATGTGAATGATGGACTGTTTGTTAGTAGGATCAGGCTGTGAATGGAGACAAAGTGGAAGGGTTTGATATGTAGCCCTGTGAAGATAGTGAATATGACAGCGGTTGTGTGAGTCAAGAGTGATTTTACTGCTGTTACTGTAGAAGGTGTGTCAAAAGCTGCAAAAGTGCTGCACTACAAAGAAGCCAGTGTTTTCTACATTTTTGTCAACAGAGATTTGAGACTTCCCCCTGCATGAGAGTGTCTATTAGCTCAGTGAAATGGATTTCATTTTATATTTACCATACATATTTTAAATGCAATCAACTACTTGGGTAATTGTGTATTTAGGTTGATTTTTTTTTCTGCAATAACCAACTTTTTTTAAGAAAATCCATCTGTAGTTTTTATCAATACAGTCAAATAAACTTTGAGTGTACTCACATTTTAGATGACTCTAGCTAAAAGTATGATGGTAAAAATTTTAAATTGCACCGTGTGAAATTAAGGGCACTGACTTTTAATTGATCTGGTATTATTAGTATACACTGGACTACTACTGTAATATTATATTCAAAAGATACTGCCTATGAGTACAGTGAAGTGCGTACTACTAGAGGGATAATACACTTTAAAGTAGTGCAGTAAAATACAGTATTTAACATTCTGTACTTAATTTAGCACCAAAATAATAAAGTGCTTTGAAGGTATAGTGTTCTTGATTCATCCAATTTGTACTTGGAAATAAACACCTCTGCTACTTCAGGTATTATTTTAGTATTTGTGAGTTTCTGTAGAAGTTTTATAGAGTTTCTTTGCATGTACCTCCTGCTGGGCCAGTGTATCCAGCTGCTGGACGTGAGGGGTGATGAGAGAGTGAAGTCGGCCCAGAATCTCCTCCACTGGCAGGGCGGACAGGAGGAAGCCCAGAGCCTGCATCAACCACATGCACTGGCTGCTCTGCACACACAGACACACAGCACACATGATACACAATGTGTTCAGAGAGACACTTGGTGGTGCATTTGTGTTTACAGAGTAGGACAGAACTGGTGAATGTTGAAGGCTGTTTACTCACCTTATGGATTTCTTTTACCAGTACGTCCTGCAGAGGAACACGGGTGTTAATAGAAAGACCGTAATATGTTATTTATTTTTTTTAAAAGGCTGCGTGTCTGACCTGTGACATGGTCAGGATGTCTTGAGCGTAGGGGCCGAGGTCATGTCTACACTCCCTGCAGATCCTCTTCAGGGTGGATACACTGGACACAGACAGCTCTGCCTTCACAAGGCCCTGAAGCACCATGGGTAATATGCCACCCAACATCACCGGGTGATCAGCCAGCCACTCAGCCAGGGATCCTGGCCAACACGAGGTACATGTCATGGATAGTGAGTGTAAATGGGTTTGTTATAGTTGAGTGCAGACCAGACGGCAGAAAGACATCCATGGCCATTAATAATCCTGGTTGTAATAATGTTCTAATGTAAAACATTAAAGTCACGTGTCTGTTAGGTACCTATGGTGTACATGACGGTGTCAGCCAGCATAACGTTGCTGATGTTGATTCTGGGGATGAGACCAATAAGACCCGGGATAACGTCCGAGTAGTTCACGTCTATCGTCTCAGCTATGGACTGGAAGCCAAATAACAGGGCCTCTGTGTCCTGAATACGGAGAAAAAAACCGAAATGTGACGTTAGGTCACGAGAGGGGAAATACAACCAGGAGGTACAGAGTTACACAGTAAGGAAGGAATGGGGAAAATAGAATATAAATAAGAAAATATTAGCGTTTTGTAATATCACGCAGGTAACACTTTGCAGAGATAGTAGATGTGCATGGAATGGGAATCAGTGATTAATGACTTTACCTGCCAGACTGCTGACTGTTGTGGGTCCATCAGCTGTCTGCCCAGCCTGTCATAGAGGTTACTGAGCAGCTCTGCCCCCAGCATTTCATACACGTACATCAGAGTGTCGGAAATGTCCACTCTGAAATGCAAAAGAGACGTGGAGGCATAGTAGATAATCTTGCTACCATTTTCATCCACACGGGCAGACATGTCTTAACAGCTATTGGATGAATTGCCATGAAATTCAGTGCAGACATGTTCTTTTGGAGCTTTCTTTTTTGTGAGAAAGGATGTAAAATCCAGTTTTAGTGCTCCTTAAGAACTTCCACTTGTTTTGCGTCTTACCTGTAAATTCTGAACTGCTCCTTGTCATCAGAAGACCAGGAGGCGTACTCCTCCTGGGAGGGATAGTGGGATTTATGTAGTAGTACGTCTACCAGTTGGAAGTAAACCGGCCTGTAGACCTGCAGGTAAACTGCCTGCTTCTCCTCCTCAAATGACAAGATGTCATCCTGAATATGCAAGAAATATATTAGAAAGTTTAGTGTCTAGATCACAAAACACATTCACATTTAACAGAGATGAGTGACTTTGTATTGTCTTGTTTACATGTATTTATCTCATACATTTCTTTCACCCTACCTGCAGAGTGTACCAGAAGGTGAGTGTGAGGGAGCTGCTGGTCTCACTGACTGGGTAGTGCCCAGGGATGCCAGTACAGAAAAGAATCATGTTAACCAAAGCCAGATACTCCTGCCAGTGCTCCACCTGTTCCAACAAAACCCTGTCGTACACAAACAAACATAAGCAAAAAACGCCATTTACCGAAGCCAGGTAAGTGGGTGATGGTGTGTGTGTGTGTGCGTGTGTGCAGCTGTGTGTACCTGGAGTGTGTTTCCCCCATAGCAACAGCAATACGACAGATACCGTGTGAGGTTTCCATGTCGCCATCCTGAGCCGCTGTGTTCAGCTGGTCATGGAGACCCAGCACCAGAGGCATCAAGTTCACCAGAGCATCAATGTACCTGCAGAGACGGGTTGTGATTCACACGCCTGGAAATTGACTGTGGCCTTAATGGATTTCTGATGCGGCGTGTTTCTCACCTTTGGCTGTCAGGCTGCGAGATGGCATTGACTATCGTCTCCACAGCCGTGTCGAACAGCTCTGGGTTGGACAGAGCACTGAAACAGTCCTGGACCAGTTCGTGACTCTCCCCTAACGGCACGTCCAGCCCCAACCAGCTGGACAGGCAGCGTAGCACCTTCTCCTTCACCTGGTTGGAGGAGTCCTGGCTTTGGAGCAGCTGACGCAGCAAGGGACACACCACTGCCCACTCCCCAACCAGGGCCCCCCTCAGCTGGGTACGGCGCGCTTGAGCCAGCCGGCCGCTCTGGAACTCCTCTGGAAGTACGGTGAGGAGCTCCAGCAGTGCCAGGCAGTGCGCTTGAGGGTCCTGGGCGGCCTCAGAGCTGCCTTCAGAGTCGGGCTTCTGCGGTTGGAAGGCCCTCACCATGTCCGCCACCGGCTGGGACCAGACCTGTGGAATTAAGTTAAGAGCCATAGAGGCCAGGGCGACACACAGCCTGGTTAGCACCATTTTGGGCCCAGAGGAGAAGTGTAGGATGTGGGAGAGGAGCTGCATCCTCAAGCTCTCATGCTGGTCTGTGGGGAGATCGCTCCAGTGATGGGAGATCTTGGTGTGGAGGGTGCTGGCGCCAAAAAACTGAACTTCTGGGAGCTGCAAAGAGACAGACTCACTGTAACAGATGGACATATACAAAATGTTCACCTCTTACGGCTCTAATCTGCACTGACATCCAACCAGTTTATGCTCTTGCACCCTGAAATAGTGTTTATTTTTAAAGATGTCTCGAGCAGAAGCAACGCACCTTGTCGGGGCCAAGCAGGGCCCAGCAGAACTGCCATGCCTGTGCAGAGGCCTGGGCCTGGGTCAGCCACTTCTGGGCCACATTCTTACGCTCCATGACCGGGTCAAAGTACAGCTGGTAGAGAGCCTGAGGAGCAGAGAAGAGCCAATACAAAGGAAACAATGAAGTAATTTGGTAATAACAGATAAGGATGACGATGTCTGAGTGGATACAAATCATAATCATAACACCCATCAGTATCCCCATATTTCCTGACTGAGTATGTAATGACAATGGATGCATCTGTGTTTTGTGCAACAGGTTGTTAATCAAATCGCTGAGTTGCATTAACACGCTTTAATGATGATGCATGCTGGATGTCCAATTGTTTGAATGGAGTAAAAAATGTGTTGTCATAGCGAGTAATCCATGGCACATGGTGTTAGTTATTATTAGGACAGCATATGCTTATAAAGGTATCATGTTACAAAATGTCCAGTGTGTCCAACCTTCCTGTGGTGAACTACGATTAACCAAACTCTGTTTTAAATAGTTTTACTGTTATTTGAGTTATTGTATAAAATACAACATATCCATATAAATATGAGATAATGATGCTGCAACTTTTATTTTTGAAAAATTGAAATTAGCTTTCGTGTTCTGAATGGCATTACAAGCTTCATCTATATGCGTAGATTAATAAACAATCATCCAGTGAAGTGGCTGACTACTGAAACTTACCGACTCCACGTTCTCTACCGTTAACTCCAACTCCACCGGGCCGTCTCCCGGATTGGCTGGAGGCTCCATCTAGCGCAACGTGAAGGTGTCTCCCCGCTGCCGTTTGAAATCCCTCCGAAATTAAAGCCTGGTCGTCAAAAAGCAGTGATTTAAAAAACGAGGAGACGCTGTCCTCACACTGAGGACGCAGCGGGTCATTCAGCTGTCCATACACATGTGGGTCGTGCGCTCAGGCATGACGACACGCTGACCTCTGTGGGGGCTGAAAAGTTGTTGTCTTACATTACCACCAGCGAACACTGACGCCTACTCACCTACCACCGTTTAATCGCTGTAAATAACATCGCAGCAAGCCTACAATAACCACGAACACAGTCAAACTCGCGTGCGTCCAACGCTACAGCGCTCTACAACAGGCGCTCCTGACGCAGACAACTGCGCTTCTGACGCACTGGCGTCTGATTGGAGCAGGGGGGAGCAACAGCCACCGCAAACTGGTGCATGTCGGAGGAATAGATTCAGGGATGAGGTGACTGGCAGGAAACGAGGAAGAGCCGGAGAGTGAAACATTCATTTGCAGTGAGATCGCTGACGCGTGTTCGCTGAAGCGCGTGCAGCCTTCTCTACTCCCGCCGCCCGCATGCAGGCTGGCGTGCGGCCCCACCCCTACTTCTCTTCTGCCCGACTCCCTCAGGATATTTTTAGCGCTGATGATGTGCCCTGTCAAATCACGTAACGGAAACAACCTCCGAGAGCTGGGAAGCGGAGTCTCTGCGAAGAGAGCCCGCTTTGCTCTGTTTTTATTGCGATCTGCATGCGAAGGCCGCGAAGGAGATGCGCTTTGAAATGAATTTGGCGTTTTGCGTGTTGGTGGTGCTTACCGGCTCATCGCAGACAAGAGGTAAGGTGTCATCTTGGTGTGTGTGTATGTATGTGAGTATGTGTTTTACCTGACATCCTGCTGACGCGAGTTGGACCCGTTATCGATTCCCACATGATGCTCCAGACATGTCTATTGATCTTATGGAAAGTTTACACAGAGCTGCAGGCTGTTGGTTGCATTTTGATTTAGATATGTTCAGTTATTTTATTGATGTCTTATAGTTCGCTTATTTTGATTCATTTGTTCAAGAGATGAGCGTTTCGTTCTCCTTTTTATAATTACTCTTTATATTATGATTTCTGTTCACAGTCATCTATTTATTTATTTATTTGAACTTTTAAGTAATGTGCACATTTTTTAAATGTTAATGGGCACTTAATGTAGTCTTCTCATAGTTTCTCGTTTTATATACTATATAATTGAATGCAGGACAGCACCAAATACAAATGTTTGTTTGTTTTTTTAGCTGCAATTAGTAGATTAATCAAGCAGTCGAATGTCAGAAAAATGATCTTCAACTATTATCTTTGACGAGCATTGTTTTGAGTAGTGAGTAGAAATGATCTGGTTCCAACTCGTCACATGTGAATCATTTCGCGGGGTTTTGTCTTCAATGACGGTAAACTGCAGATATTTGTTTTGGACTGTTTGTTGGACAAAAAAAGACATTTGAATATAATCCACTTTATGCTCCGGGAATTATTTTAGACACGATTTTATAGCCAAAAAAATACAATGATTAATACCTTTTTCATATCTCTTTTATTTCATAGGTCAGAGCAGTGTCTTGCCTCCTGTCCTCACCCTGGCTGCCTTCCCGAGTTATGCTGGACGCTCAGCATCTCCTGACCAGATCCTGACAGAGGATCCTGGGAGTGAGGTCACACATCGTATTCACAGCGGGGATGAAACCTCAACTGAAACCACCACCATTACCAAGACCAAAGCAACAGTCCATTCAGAGGCTGCGACAAATGCAATATATGTAACGCACTCTGCAGTGGCTACATCTCAACACATGAATGTACCCGTCGCCATGACTGCTCCTTCACCCTCAGGTATTCAAGACAAACTGTTTACATGCTGCCTCTCTCTAAAAGCTTCAAGACATAAAAATGACTGTCATCATCTCGTCAATAATTCTATAATTGTGCATATATCCTTTTCCAGTCCAGTCTGTTTACTTCACGTCCTTTTCACTTCACTCTACTTTTACATCCTGATTCTTGAAATAAATCATCCCACACATTTAAAGCTGCCTGTTTGCAAACACAGACGCTCTTTCTCAGGCTCACTGCCAGCAGCGCTCCGGGAACATATTCCTCTCCTGACCCCTGACATTGACTGCTATGAGATTGAGAATGTGTGTCGCAACCTCATCTAAGAGATTCCCTTTTATAGATCGGATAAATATAACTCTCTACGCTGATGCCCTGTTGCCTCTTTGAGCAGCACAGAAATAACAACATGACATCATGCCATCCTGTTCACACTCCTGCTTTCTTATTAGCTGCTGTTGTCACTTCTCTGTCTGTCCCTGTGGAGTAATGTGTAGGTTATCCCTCTCTTCAAAAAGCTACACATTACATCAGTAATTACTTTAAGTTGCTTTGTGACTTAATGCAGAAAATGCACAAGGATACTCTCATTCTTACCCATTGTGCTTTGCCCACAGGAGCACTAATTACAGCCTGTCTCTTCATTCTATCCTACATGTAAACGGTAGAAAGGAAGCCTTGTAATTACCCATCGTACAAAGTTCCTTGAACACACCCCTTTTCCAGCCCCCTCCCCAGCTGTCAGCATGAGCTGTGGAACTTGATGTAAAGAGCCACGTGCTTTTAGTGGAGTAACAATATACTCATGTTGAAAGAGGGAAAAGGCAGGTGTGAATATTCACTCGTTTCATAGAGAAAATGAAAGCAGTGACTTAAAAGAAAGCTAAAAAACTCCTGTAAATTATTATGCAGTAGAACGGTCCTACAATAGCTTTGTGAAACTTCTAACTGTGTTCACCAGGCCTCCCACGAACAATTCTCATTATCGATTCATCTCCTGATTATTTTCTCGGTTATATGAATAATAGATTGGTCTGTAAAATGTGAAGTTCCCTGAACTCATATTTAATGTTTTCAAATGTCTGGTTTTCTCTGTCCAAACCCTGAGTATATTAAGTTTACTCAAATAGTTTAAAAACAAAACAGGAAATATTCATGTTTAAGAAGCTAGAACTGGTAAATTATTGCCATTTTTTGCAACAGCTCAAACTATTAATTGATTATCAAAATTGCTTACAGCGGAGTGTTTGGCACATTGTTACAGACCCATGTGGTTTATCTGAATCAGCCACTGCAAAACTGGAAAGATGCCGTAGTGAGCATCCACCACCATTAGTATGCCGTTATTTGATGCATGAAAATACAAACAAGTTAACCGTATATCTGTTTTAATGTCAGTGGGAGTGATCAGTTTCTATTAACAGGGTTTTGTGGAGTTACATCAGTGTGCTGTGTGTACGGTTTGTTTCCTTTGAAGAATTCTCTGTGCTGTTTTGAATTGATACAGCACTGCCTTCACATCCCCACTTTCAGCTGCCGCAGACTACCTTTCATCTGCGCTGCCTGTACAGAGCGCCACCCCTCCACCGCACATCTCAACCACTGACGGCAGAGCCATTGTGACCACAGATCCCTTCACCACCTTTTCATCTCAGCCTGCCCACACAGTGCAGGATACGAGCTCCACAGCCCACGCCTCCACCATCCGGCCACAGTCTGAATCATGGACCACAGCCTCCACACAGCCGACAACCACAGGACACCTGACCTCCGCTCCAGGCCAGGGTCCTGCTGGGCCCACGTACCAGGACGTCCCATCTGAACTCAATGTGGGAGATGAAGGTAAGGTGATGAGAGTAATGTTATTTATTTTGTGTCTTACAAATGTGTTAACTGTTTTATTACGATTGTCCGTTCGTGTGTCATTTAGACCTCAAGGGGCCCCGCTACCGCTCAAGCTCCCCTCTAGATCCCCTGCTGGCTGGCCTGCTGTCAGTGTTCATCGTCACTACTGCTATCGTCTTCGTCATCCTCTTCCTCAAGTTCCGCCAGCGGACAAACCACCCAGAGTTCCATCGGCTTCAGGATCTACCCATGGTGAGATAAATACATGTATTACAATACAGTAAGCTTGTGATTAAAGGGGCACTTCAGCATTTGTTTTTCAGTTTACTTGTCCTGAGGGAGAATAACCTCAGTTTGGCTTTAGATTTTGTTACGAACTGGAGGTGTAGAGTTTGAAACAAGTGATGGCAATGAGGGTCTAACAAAAGACTGCAGTTGCATTTTGGGAAATGTAGGATCTGGGGGTGTGGGAGCTTGACCCAGACTGTGAATGGGATTGTGCTTAGAGTTTAGTAGTCTTGCGTCTTCTTGTTGATACATGAGCTTCAAGTTTTCAGAATTGTGTGCATAGTTACATCTTTTGTGTGTATAAAGTCAAAAGGTCACCACAGACACCCAGTTTGTAATACTGAAAATAAATATTGCAATACTTTCATCAGTGGGCAGCGATATATATTTTAAATGAAAATCTTCAAGATTGCCAAAACTTTATGGAATTGCCGTATTACCTTGTAGTGCTGTGAATTGAAACTATAAATCACCAAATTTGTTCCCCCAGCTCACTGTTTGTAAAATCAACTGTGAAGTTTAAAATATCAACTCTTCTATCCCCTTAGTCTTAATTAAATCACTCTCATGAAGGTCAGTGGTGCAGCTAATTAAACATAGAAACTATGGAATCCTGCTCTTTGAATGTATGACCACATGCAAGGGGAAGTTTTCAGAGGAGAAACAGACACAAATATACAAAATCAAGTCAGTCAGTTCTTTCAATTACATGACATTTGTTCTCATAACTCCTTATGCTTATCTTCAGAGCTCTTTATCATCTCAGCACAATCAGACAAGTTTCGAAAATATATTAAAAGTCACAAAATCCCATACTGTTCAAAAAGGGTACCGCTGAGCGTATAAGTATTGACCTAGTCTCACCTTTTCTAAACTTATTCTTAACTGTAGTAGTCTAAATATTATTGTAATCTTCTTCTCCAGGATGATTTGATGGAGGACACGCCACTCTCCAGGTACACTTACTGATGGACGCATCCTCAGTCACTTCCACGACTCAGAGAACAGAAGCAAAGCAGACACCAAAGGAAGACCAGTGTGGATCTCAGAAAAGCCTCTGCCTGGATGCTGCTGCATCTCTGCAGACGAGTTTTAGGTTAGTGATAGAAAAATATATTTATCTGTGGTTCCATGAGAAGGATCCATTGAGTCTTTTAAATGGGAGGTTTCAGAGGCACTTTTTTCCACATTCCCTTTAAATTTCCAGAGATCTTCAGCCTAGTGGAGACTTGTTTGTGCTTCTGCACCCCTGACTTACTCCCCCATATGCACAGCACTTTAATGTGGCTTGAATGGTCACAGTGCCCTCTAGGGGTCATTTGAGGTAATGTGGATCAAGGTTGCATGAAGTCCTCCAATGAAAGACAACCTCAGGTTATCCAGCAAGAAATAGGAGAGCGAGAGACACATGGGAAAGTTGCCAACATGCCTAAAATATTTAAGGAATATAAATTAGGATCCCTTAGGTGACCAAATATTAGTGAAGTGCACTTTCACGCCAAACTGTCAGGTTAATCGTGTTGTCTTAAAGCTGAGGTCTTGATTATAAAGTTCAAAAGCCATAACTTTGGAAAAACGGACACAAAGAATATCGTACAGTAGAAGCCAAATCTCATTCAGTTGCTCAAATGTATTCAACTTACATGTGGAAAATATTCTTGTTGCAGCCGTTAATGTGCGGTTACATGTGTTATGGAAGTTTTATCATGGTCTAATTCTGGTCTTTAAAACAGTTCTGTTTTCAATGAATATTTAATCCACACTGAGAAGAGACCTCACGACACTAAACACTTTTAACAGCAGCAATTTGTAAAGTAAAACAAAATATTGTTAAATGAGTTGTAAAATGCGTATTTATTTCTGCACAAGGTGTTTGTTCAAATGCTTTGAGTAGAGAAGAGGTGCAGTTTAGATTGTTAGCTGGAGTATCATGCAAATGTGCTGGAACTAAGCTGTTGTATCAATCTTTACCTGTAGTGTGTTCAGAGTTGTTTTACTGTTAAGTGCCAACAGTGATGTATGATTTAATGTCATTGAAATGTGTACTGTAAGATATTGATATTAAGATTTCCTGTTTGATAATAAATCAGAAGTCATGATACTGTAGTCAACAACTTTAGGGTCTTACTGCAACAGCAGGTGGAAGAGTTCTTCCACATTATGCTGTGCCATTGTGGCCTGTGTGACGGGTATTTTCTTTTGTGAGCCTAACAGCTCTGCAGAGATACAAATCCACCTGCCTCAACAAGTAATGTGGACTTTGAACAATTACTAAGCTTAAAAAAAAGCCGCTCCCTTAAACAAACATTGCAGTTATCAAAACCTCACATTCAATAAATGCCCTTTCAACACCCAATAAAAAAAAAAAAAAAAGCACAAGATAATTTATAACCAACATATGATGTTTAATATTCATATGACCAGCCAAAACCCTGTTTACAAGACAAAGAAATCAAAAATATGAAATATATCTTATGTCTTGTGGCCAACTACTTCAGAAATCAGGGTGCAGGTGAAAACGCCATCAAGACAAACTGACAGATCGTGCATGTAGATTACACCCCAGCCATTAGCCTGAAGGAGGAATGTCAGGTCACTTGACAACATGAATGTCACCTGGCTTCAAATGTTGAATTGGTCAGAGGTTAGCGTATATGTTGCAAAGTATACGGGTTATGTAGCTGCTTTGATTATAAAGTGGTTGACTAGGTGAGCCCACCCTGAAGACTTTGTCATTAGCAACAGTTAGCAGTGTTACAGAAGGGATTCCTCAGTGGTCGCGTCCAGCCAAGCAGAGTGCGGCCGAAGCAGACGGTGGTCAGCATCATCCCGAGCAGAGCCACGTTCCCAAACGATCCCCACGTTCTTTTTTTAGGATCTGATGGAGATGAAAAGTATTAATAGTATTTATAGCACATTTGCAACCTGCTTTACAAAAGCAGAAAATGTAAATGAAACATGGACTGCCCAACATTTTCTTACCTCCTGTAGAGTACCCATGTGCGTACACCTCTCTGCTTATGATCCATACAACTCCAAGTCCACTGGTGAGACGCTGTTGTAACCAGACAGACACACAAGTAAAGGTAACACACTCTTATGACAGGATTTTATAATTACAATATTTTTGTACAAACCCTGCATATCGTTATATTAGTTTAAAACAACAGCATTAGGCCGACTCTAATTTGATAGATAGATAGATAGATAGATAGATAGATAGATAGATAGATAGAT